AGAAGGCGAAATTCGCCGAAACGTCAGCTTAATCGTGAACAAAGAACAATAACACCTCGCGTTTGCTCAAAAAAATACGAGCAAAAAAGAGCGTCATGTGCGTTATAGACAAAATCTGGTCTCGGTCACAGAACACATTAGGATTTTATGAGTGTTTCTTCATGAAAAGATATTCCAGTATTAAAAATCTCGATTGAAAAACATCTAATCAACATTTGCAAAAACTGCATGGACAATTTCGTTTTTTCTCTCTTTTTTTGTAGACCTCGTTTAGCTATTAAAGTAGCGGATAGTGGCCCACTGGTAGTGGTGCCAACCATCATGAGCACGATGCCGGTTCGACCCCGCCAACATCGTCATCTCTCCGGACTCAGAAAATTATTGCCAGATTTGTCTGAGAAGGCCCACGCTCTGCAATTCAACGAGGAACGATCTAGCCCGGTTATCTCTGGGCTCCAGGAATCCCGTTGACCAGCATTCAACGAAAGGAGAATTCATTCGACCAGAATTCAAAGACATTCACGACAGGAAATTTACGATACACCAGCCGAACCCACACGTAAATAGTTCGAAAAGTTTCGCGGGTGATGGATGCGAGGAGACAAATCGAATTGCTAGGATCCGCACAGAATATGTAAATTGGGTTCATGTAAAATAAAGATTTAAAAGGTATGAGGATAATAACTTGAGTAGCCATTATAACAATTATGCTAATTATGAGCGATAAGCAAGCTTCCTGGGTACTTGAATAAAACTAGGAGAATTATAACTGAATATAGAAAAAGCAATGTGCAACGAATGAGGCTATTTAACAGAAAGTAGGGAAACAAATGAGGGAATGAAATCAAACATGAGGAAGGAAAGAGGAAGAGAAGAAAAGGACTATGAAAAAAGACGTTTCTAGACCGAACGATCACAAGCATGAGATCTCCGGCTTAGGCTTGAGAGAAAACAACTGTTGTTTGCAACGAAGACGTTATACCGATGTTCTTTTCAACACTATTTTTATCATATACAAAAAATTTTTTTTAATGACAGAATGGTCGATAACCATGCAAAAGACAGGACTTTAGCAGGTCTACTTCACTTCCTAGCTACTACTACTGCTTATCCTTTCTAAAAATCGACGCTTCTTTAATTTAGAACCTCTTATTGACAAGCAAGACACGTCGGTCTCATAGTGTGGTGTTAAATTACGGTGAAGTGCCATATAAATCTTTTGTCTTCTTTAAAAAAACTCAGCCTTCCCAACCTTTACTTCGGCAATCTTAAACGAGAAGCGACTAGATTTGTTGACCAGTCGATAGACGTGTGAATAATGGGGAAGAAAATCGGAAAAACAACATGAAAACTGACTAGTGCGAAGGGTTTCGTGAAATTTCCACGAGTACAGAGAAGGACATTTAAAAAACTTCCGTGCCCGTTGACCTACCACTAGTCCATCCAAGGAGTGGGCACTGGGACCTGAGGTTGAATGTTTTCAAAATCATGACATCTGGGGATTTGCTTGGGATTTGTAATTTTGTGTTGAATAATTTTCAGATTTAATCAGAGATTCTTTTTAAAAAACTTCAACTACATTTCTGTTATTGGTTTAAACACTATAAACAACATGTTTGACAAAATTTACAGTCAAGGCAGGGCACTTAAGAAGTGGCCCATAATTGAGACATACCGAAATAGGAACGGAGACTTTCTTCACAGGCGGGATTGTTTCTGAATGAATCGCACAAATTAAAACCCAAACCAACAATGCAGACCAAAACTTAGTCGCAGAAAACACAAGTAGGCTGATCGTTCGCACTCTCAGCGTTTTGATAAGGCGTGGTAAAATGCCTACGCATTGAAAAAGTGTGTGTGAAGTTGTGTAGGACGAGATATCATGGGATCGGGTAGAGAGGCGCAGCGCCTGCTGATCCATGACGACACGATGTTAAACTACACCCACGATTGTAACGCGGAGCCATTATCGACTAGTGGCTCAATTCTCTTCGGAGATAGACGTAAAAGTGAACTACTGTTTTTCTCTACGGGCGCGTGCAGCGCAATGCGCCTCGCAATGCGCATGGGATCGGTGCCGCGCTCTGGGTCACCATGCCGTCCGTCACTCCGGAGTCACCAAATAGGTGGGAGATAAAAAGATAGCAGCAAATTGCTTTTTGCTTAAATGATGTGCTTCCACTTATCGTATAGGCTTGGGCTACTTCTATTGGCTTCTATTGGTTTCAATATTCCATAGCCTTCAGATGTTCTGCTGCGGATTAACGATTTCTTTTCTTTTGTCCCTCACGTGCATACCGGATGACATCCAAGTGTTGTTTTCTTGGAATCCCAGGATATACTGTTAGGGTGTCAGGTTTTCAACACATATGCTAGAGTCCATTACAACATGATACCTCTTATTCTTCCGGGACCGTTAAATGAACGCCAGAGCAGACTTGTCCAGAGAAGTTCATTCCCTCTAATCCACGTTGGAACAACCAAGTACGCCTATGTCAAAATTTGAAAGGCAATGGACATGACCAGCATTCAACCACATTTGCGATGAAGACGAAAAAATCCTTAACAAGCATCCGAACCTGTACGCCAACAAGCGAAGACCTCTATGGACGACGAATCCGAGGGAAACAAATCGTTAGCAAGAAGTCCTGGTATCCACAATATGTGGCATACGCGATGTATAGCATACATGTTAGAAATGCGGAAGAGTTACTCTATTTTAGGAATGGTGCTTATGCTTGCTAAAGCACAAGCATAAATAATATTTCTTTTAATAGCTCTGCGTAAAATGAGTTTTACAGAATGTTGCTGTGAAAATATTGCCATGACGTTCGCAAAAATCCACTTCATGCAGGATAACAAAGAAAACACGTGGCAACCAATAAGTCGAATTTATTAAAATCAATCAATAATCAATCAATAATCACAGTAACCATTCAGTAACCTGATGATGAAATAGTGTTAACAGTTAATAACAAGTTTCATAGCATAATAACATGAAATGAAGGTGTATGAAATGGAATGAAATCTTCTGCGGTTATGAATTTATTCAATCACAAAGGAACAACTTCGTATACAAAAGAAATGCCTTTGTTAACTTTTATTTACTACATATGTTTCGAATTATAACTCGTATGAATTGCTGAGATATTTGCAAAACTCCGGACCACAGGTGTATGCAGTGGGGAACGAACACGCGCTGTTGTCCTTACTGGGGAGCAGCGCACTTCACCACTACACCATCCGGATCCCCGTTGAAGGGTGATTGCTGATGGCAAAAAAGATCGATAGAACTAGCTAAGATACACGCAAAGCGAAGGACCCGGATGGTGTAGTGGTGAAGTGCGCTGCTCCCCGGTAAGGACAACAGCGCGTGTTCGTTCCCCACTGCATACACCTGTGGTCCGGAGATTTGCAAATATCTCAGCAATTCATACGAGTTGTAATTCGAAACATAACCTGCCATTAAGAAGAAAAAGGCAGTAAATAGAAGAGTTAAGATTGTGATTACTACCTATTGTAATTTTTTGCGGCAGGATATTATGTGTGATGCAACCACAATGATACTGAGATATTTGCAAAACTTCGGACGGTAGGTGTCTGCGGTGGGGAACGAACGCGCTGTTACCCCTTCCGAGAGCTAACGCATTCGCAACCACACCATGCCGGTCCTTCGTTTCGCCTGTCTCTCAAAGATCTTTATTCAGTTTTTCTAAACTGTTTCTTCTAAAAATACGCAACAATTAATGAATAGAACGAAATTCTGAGGTTTTCTTTGAAAAACGGTTCTGCCAAACCTCCATCTAGCGTTCACATTTCTATTCTATCTTCTATTCAGAGTAGGGGCAATTAATCCTGGTGAGATTGCTGTTGATTGACATCATTTGTCGGTTCTGCCCCCGCATTCGTGTCGTCTCGCTTAACCGTTGGGATTTGTAAGGGTACGAGTCGTTTGTGAAAAGCAGCTAAGGATAAGAGAAGTATCATCCATGTAGCGAATTGAAATAACCAAACGACTCGCGGACCGAAATGACCAAACATGTCTCTGGAATGGAAACGATAAGGACTGTCAGCTAATCCGGCATTTTTTCAACTTTTTGCTCAACATCATAAGTTTTAAGATCATCCACATTTTTGTTTCGACTTTATATTCTCTTTGTTTTGCTGTGGTTTAGACTTCTTCTACCTAAAACGAGGAGCTTACGTTACCGCTACTGGACCTAGCACTCGGCTACAGCTGGCCAAGAAAGTGTTGATACCGTGCATGGTACCTTGTCTACGTGGTCCAAGTACCTAAAATGGAATTTCTTTAAGATCTTATGATAATCCACAAGTTGTTCTCAGAATAGGATGACTAGAGGATCAATAAAATAAAAGGATGAGTCCTGTTAGGGAAATAGATAAAGTGAAAAAAGTTTTTTCTTGTTTTATAGCTAAGGCATTTGCCATTGTTTAATATTTCTTCCTCAGAACTTTTTAAGTGGTTATATGGAAATCAGGTACGCGAAGCTCACTGGTTGGAACTGCCCAGCAGTAGACGTGCGGTACCTGGTTCAACACAGGACCAATCAAACCTTCCATCCATAAACACTCGGCAGATTAGAATCCGATTTGTTTCGGAGGATAAAAAGGATAAAACGATAGAGCTCTCAGCGTTGATCAATCCCTAAGGGATGCGCCATGCATTCGACTTCATTAAGCATCGTTGGAGGTGACTGAATGCATATCTGGCTTATACAATAACTCGCGGTGGCCTACTGATGTGTCGAGCCAGTGCTGTTATCCTCCAAGACAAGTCTGGTACCAACTTGCCCACCCCGGAGGTATGGCGGGTTTGGTGGGCTATGGGCTCGGGAATCGATTCCACGTGTGTGTCGCAGTGGCACCTCCAACCACTGCGCCTTTTTCAGTGGATAAAAACAGTAATTCGATCCGTCGGTAGGCCACCGCAAGTTATTTCATGGGTTAAATGTGCATTAAATCGCCTCAATTATGCTACGAATTAAGTCTAATGCATAGCACATCCATAATGGATACACCAGAGAACGTGTAGCACAGTGGCCGAAAATTGGTACCAGACTTCTCTGGGAGGAAAGCGACACTGAGCCGACACATCGGTAGGCCACCGTGAGCCATTGTAAGGGCCAGATATACATTCAATCACCCAAAAGTATGCCTAATGAAGTCAAATGCATGGCGTACCTCTCAGGGGTTGATCAACGCAGAGAGCTTTATTTAAGGTATAGATCAAGAAAGGAGGATTTGTCCTTCTTCGCTTAGAACAGGTGAAAATAGGTGTTTTATATAAATATGTGGTTTTCAGACAACATATAGCAGCTGACTTATCCTCATGAAATCGGATCATCAACTCATCAACACTATTCCGCACATCTCACACCTGCTCGTAATTGATCACAGGAGGAATGTTTAGTAAACCCAAGCAGGCGTGGCCCGCATTAATCTAGCAGCAGTGGGCGCGGTCTGGCTGCGATGGACGTGGCCAACAGATGAGCTTGGGTGGTGATCGTTGGAGAGGAATGGTAGAGAGAGTAATGTGAGTTCCAATAAACCGACCAGTGAACGAAGTCATGCGTCCAAAGTCCTCATAATAGTATTTTTGAATTGACGTCAGCACACTAACTAACACCAATTGGTTGGTTGATTAGGTGTAAGGTTCAGTAAGACAAAATCAATAAATCGACTTAAAAAGCACGTACGCTTGAGTACATCGCCGCTAGATGGACGTTCATCATTGCGAATCCGATACCAAATACAATTACATAAGAAGCGGCATAAAGGTGCATAGGTATACGTGGTGTAGTAGCACACCATGATGAAAGGCAAGCTAAAAACAAGGAAGAAAAAAATCACAGATTGCCCTTCCAAAAATTTTCAAGGATAAATTAGACTATTTTTTTGGACATTTGAAAGGATAATCGAGACTTCCAGAAATATGGAACGATTTGCCTACGAGCTAATCGAAATGTGGATCGATATTTATGGTTTGCATACGCTAACCACTTGTACGCGTCCAGGACATGCCTCTAATTTGTGCACGAGAGTTATAGTTTTCACCATAGCCAAGCCAGTTCATTTGCTGGTTAATTGAAGCAAAGGAATTAAATGCTGTATATGAGACAAAGTGTGTTACCGCTACTTCTGATGTTTCCGGTGTAAAACCACCATGAATACGTGGAAAAGAGAAATGTGACACAAATAAGAATGCCAACGATAACACCGCTACGGTCGTCGATCCTGAATACTGACCACAATCGACTTTTCGAAGTGGGAAAGTAATTATAGTTTTGTACTATGTAGGCGAAGAGCCTATTAGACCACATTTGATGACTGCAGTCATGGTATTTTGAAAACTACAGCAGTGAGAGGAAGAGAGAAAGGGTACGGTTATTTGAATGTCTATTGACGTACAGTAATACTAAAAGTGCCTATGTAGCGCAATGTTTAGAGGTGTCCTTCAAAAGACCCATCGTTGATCGATCTCATGAACAGTTAAATGAAGTTTTCCATCACTCTATATTTGCCTTCGGATGCAATTGTCTGGGAGAGAATATCTGGGAGAACAAATGTAGTGACTTTATACGTTGGTAGACTTAGGTATGTGCTAAATTCGCATTCATTCACCTCAACGGTGCTACCAATCGAGTCGAATGCACACTGATTCGCTAAAGAATTGACTAACCCTGAACACTTCACACTTTGTCCTTTTAATACTTCAGTGCTAAAAAAGGAGTGCGACTACTTGAATTTCTAACGTACAGCAAAGGAAGAAAGCACACGAATACAGTTCTCTTCTCACCGCCTGCTTAATTTCGTCCAGATGTAGGTCAAGAGAAAGGCGAAGCCGATGAAACCTGAGACTGAGACCAGAATCGAGTTAAACTGGGTGGTCTCCACACGGCTAAGATCAAACATTTGTTGAGTGTACATGGATCCGATACTGAAGATAAAGAAGAATCAATTAGTGCATTTATTGACTTAAAAAATGGTTCATAAATTGAAACTGACGTTTCCATGTTCGCATAGATGAACATTTGCACCATTTTTGCGAATATGCAGCAAAATACGGCCACTTTATCGAATGGTGGCAATGAGACGGAGAAACGGCTGTCTAAAGGTATCAATTTTATCGCTATCCCAAAAGTAACGCATGATTTAACCCATAGTGGATGAGTATAAACAGTAGAAAAACCCCGGAAACAGTAATAGCGCGTTCGTTATCCACCACAGACACCTGCGGTTAACAAATTTCTTAGCTCCAATGTTGTTGTATTTCGCATAATACCCTGCCATAAAAAATTGTATTGGACAGTAAATAAAAAGTTATTGTGATTTCAACTACAGCCTCAACTTAACTCGGTTCAATGCTGATTTGGGCTCCCCAATTCCGTTGACGGGTTCAACGGGTTAGCCCCCTGGGAAGGGGTGTTCGTTCCTCACCGCGAGCAGCTGCTATCCGGATTTTTGCAAATATGTCAGACTACTGTGGTTGTATTTCACACAATACCCTGCCATGAAAACCTGTATTAGGCACCAAATAAAGAGTTGTCAGTGTGAACAGTGTTCGACGAATGTTTGCTGTTTTGCACAACATTAAAATATTCCTTTTCTTTTAAATTCCAAATCTTTACTTTCGTGTTCCTTACTTTCTTCCTCTTCCTTCAGTCTGTATCTACCTGAGCTATCGACACTTTCTCGCTTCTCTTTGCAGATCATCGGTGCTTCGTCGAAGAAGAACGTCATTAATATCAGCGTGGTCCCGACAAGAACATTTGCTATGATCGCGGGCATAGTATACATATTGATTCGTATGAAGCCAAATACAGTACCCGGGTAGTTCAACGGCGAAAATACTAGCTGAAAACCTGCAAAGAATAATATTATCCATAAAGAAAAGTGATCAAATAATTCTTTATATTCTTGTTGAGCAAGCGCAAGGTGCTATTACATTTTTTATTCAGGAACAAGCTGACGGTTCTGTGGAATTTCGCCTTCTTCAGAGCCTGGAAAGGTCATGTTGACCAATCTTTCAAATCCGCCTCGATTTAGCCTCTCAGTGAAAGAATACATGTTACAAGTCTTATCGACGTTAATGGAAAGTCGGATTTTGTTACAAAGAATAGACTTTTAGAAAGTGTTAACTGGTAAGCTAGATGAAGTTGTACTCTCAACAGGTTCATCGAACTCATCATTTCCGCTCTCTTATTGTTCTTTAGAGAGCGGATAGCACAGCGATAGTGAAGTCCGTCATCACAAGCATGGTACAAGTTCAATTCTCGGAAAATTGGTACCAGGTTTTCCTGGGAAAAAATCGCTGTCTGCAATCCAACTGAGAACGCTCCAGGTCGGCTATCTCAGGACTCTAGGAAGAATTGCTCGACAAGCATTCTGCGACATTCAAGATGAAATGAAAACGTTCAATCAGCAACCGAAGCCACACGTAAAAGTTAGAAGATTTTCGTAGACATTGATTGCAAGGAAACGAATCGAATGTGAGAAGTGCTGGTATCCGTGCAGTAGACGTAAAGATGGGTCATATGGAATTAAAAAAATAAATTTTCCTCTTGTGTTGATGATAGGTTTTTTTTATTTTCAATGGCTCATTGATGTACTTTTCTACAGAATCAATCACATTTTCATTCACGAATTTTCTTTATGTTACCTTTTAGAACCCGGTTACTAACCAAGCTATGTGTAAAATCTCCAGGTGATAGAGAAATGATTAAACGCCCACCCACGAACAATTTTATACCAACTCTAAGACGTAGATGTACTTAGGCGTGAGCCTCTTCGTAGCTTGATTTTTGGATGGAAATGCGCAATTCCATGCATACAGTAACACTGCTAAGAGAAGAAAACAAGCTGCATATTAAAATTCTGTACATAGGATCAATCTTGACGGTAATAAGGCGGTAAATCATTGAGCACAAAAAAGAGCACGATAGCGGCGGTGACAGTGTTGTTATAAATTTAAGGATGTGCTCCGTGCCCTTAAACCTTGAATTAATCGACGCTTACTTGGTCCTAACGCAATTCCTAAGCAAAATGCTCCATCGAATAAAGCGGCTGCCGTTGAGCGATCCTCTGCTGTGGCTGCGTACGTCCAATAAGTCGGCAGAAGAGAATTACCACCTTAAAGAGATTTGTTATTTTGCTACTTAAGTTTCGCCAGAACATTTCAAATGGTTCTATCTTGTAACATTCTTAATACCCAATCATTATATCATTTGTTTTATATTGTCATTATATATCAAAACTCAAAGCGAAAAAGAGGCGCGAGAAGCGCAGTGATTGGAGAAGCCGCGCGATAATACACGCACGACCGCTGGTTCAACCACGTGCTATTTAACCAATTATCCCATCCTTCCAAGGCCGAAAAATTTCTACTAGACTTATCCAGGAAAAGCGCCCTCTAATCCCCGAATGCCGGCCACTGCTGAATACGAATCTGGCAACGGTCCCATAGACCTGTACAAGGATTCCATGGATAACTGAGACGACCAGTGTTTAATAATATTTATGAGAAAGGTAAAGCACTTATGTTGTATTGGAACCGATGTGGAAATTTGAAGACAATCGGGGTTGACTAATGCGACGAAACGAATCCAATCAAAGAAGAACACTTGGATCGGCACAATATGTTACATCAGGTATACAAATACATTGGATAGTGATCACCAATGAATAATACTATAGATATTTACCTGCAGCTATTCCGCTAAAAAATCTAGCCACACCCATCGCATATTTACCGTAACCGGCAAAGTTATGAATTGAGATGTAGAGTGAATTTGTTGTAAACATCAGCACCATAGAATACATTGACGGTACTCGAATACAACCTAGCTAAACGAACCACAAATTGACTAGTGTTGGTAGTTTTACCTATTCACGCTATGCCTGTGAAGTTACACGCTGATATCAATTGCAAATCAACAAATCAGTCATAATGATGATCAGATATTTGCAAAACTCGACCGCAGATGTCTGCGGTGGGGAACAAACGCGCTATTACTCTTTCCGGAGGATAACGCATTCGCCACCACACCATGCGGGTCCTTCGTTTCGCCTGTCTCTCATCCAGTTTTCTATCTACCTCGAAAATCATTTTTGATATACGGGTTATGGCTTTCGGTTACTGTAGACGTTTTCTTTGTGCTCTATTCTGAAAACAAACCAGGCCAATTTATGCTTAAAAAACAGACGCCAAACTGACCTTGTTTGACCAGTAGCCAAAAAATGGTGCTGAACCGGCTATGCCAACGCTGTATAAAGCGTTGATCAGTGCATAGTCGTGCATAGTGGCACTCTCATCTATCTAAACGTTAAGGCTTCTTGCTTTATGTATTCTTGAAATATTTACACTTTTTTCTTTCTCAATAATACTATTGTTATAGTTCACGGTGTGCTCTAATCGCTAGAGCACCTCAAAAAAACCAAATCAGTTCGGCGTCGTCAACGTCTTCAGAAGTTTGCATTGGAACGAAGACGTGGCCTTCTGTGGTTAGAAAAGGTTTTTTCACTAGAAAATATTCTCCATAAAAAGCCAACAAGACTGATGACGAAGGAAATGAGATCAACTGATGCAGAATTCTGAAAAGAACACGTCGCTATATGCTTTCCTTTCTTCGCGACGACGTACTCGAATGAAAACGATCAGGTGAACTCAGTATGAAGCCATTGTTAAAACATTCTTCAGTCTAAAAATCGATTCTTTTACAAATGCCAGAATGTTTTACAAGTGTCAAGATCTATCCACTAACAAGACGATATTCGCCTCTTCTACAGTTGTAAGAAGTGAGAAACTATCGATCGACCGTGCGACGGGAAATTGATACCGGACGTGTTCCATGGGAGAACGCTCTAGCCTGGGTATCTCAGGACTCCGGGGTGAATCGACTCACCCAGCTTTCAACGACATTCAAGATGAAAGATGAAGATCCGCAAGCAGCAGCCGAAGCCACACGTAAAAAGTTGGAAAACCTTCGTGGACAGTGGATGCGAAAAAACGAATCGAAAGTGGTAAGTGATGGGATCCGCACTGTGGATGCGAAGATGGGTCTTATGAAAAAAAGGAAGAAAACAAAACAAAACGAAGAGAAGAAATGAAAGTGAATTTTTGCAGCTTAGTCGACTACTTTACCAATGTAGCCATCGAGGTTTCGGCTCGTCAACAACAACCATGAGCATCTGTTTCGCTGGTTGACCGCCTACGTTCTCTTTCCTCCTCTTTTTACTTTTTTCCTCCAAACTTCCTCTATGAAGAAATCATGATTCAAACGATGATTCAAAATATTTCCAGAGAACAGAAATGAACGAAAATTTTCTTCGGTGAGTGGAAGCGGTTCAGAATTCTGAAAAAAAGAGATGTGTCGTTTGAACATGCTCCATCCGTAACAGGTGTCAGCTTACAACAATGACAAGCATTATTTTACAAGCTGTTGCCAGATTTATCGATTGGCACCAGAATTAGATGCGTTAGAATAGCGTCAAAATGGTGGAAATGTACGTCTATCAATGGGAAAATTCACACATACCTCTTGTAAAAATGGCCACAGCGATGCAAAATAGACCGTGAATTGGATTCTGGTGAGCAGTACGACGATCGACATCAGACGAATCGATTTCCAATCAGTTTGTGATGGCAGCTGATCGAACGGCGTCACGGATTCATCACACGGTATTTCGTCGTCTTTCGATGATTGTACAGCAAAACTTTAAGCGCAAATCTCTTAGAAATAATAGTGGTTATCACTAAGAGTACGATGGAACAAGTGTGATGAATATACCTTTCACTTTCTTTTCGTTAGTAAAATACAGTAAAATGATAAAGAATAAAGCTCTCGGCGTTGATCAGTCCCTGACGGATGCGCCATGCATTCGACTTCATTCAGCATCATTGGAGGTGATTGAATTCACATCTGCCTGTGCAATGACTCGCGGTGGCCTACCGATCTGTCGAATCAGTGCTGCTATGCTCCCAGACAAGTCTGGTACCAATTCGCCGACCCCGGAGGGATGGAAGGCTTGGTGAGCCGCGGGTGCGGAGATTGATCCCAAGTGTGTGTTGTAGGGTGCCTCCAACCACTGCGCCAATGCACAGATAGTAAAAGAAAGCGCGCTCTTTTAGAGCTTTTATGACTCCTATGAGGTCACACTGTCGTGAAAGGCTTAAAGACGACCCTTGTTTCGTCCAGTATTATATTTTAAAAAAGCCTTACGCGATTATTAATACAACGGTAGAACAATTTGTTAGCACAATAACCTTATAGAAATAGCCTACACGGGATACAAACAGTTTTTGGATGCTGGACAATCATGTTTTCTTACGAAAGAGAACGACATCTGCCGAGATTCAAGAACGGTGAAAATAAACTAGTTCTGAGTAAAAATTTGAATTACCTAAACGAATCTCTGGACTCCTCGATTGTCGGCAATTCTGGAAATCGGGGAGTCTTTGGACTTCGAGGTGATATCGGCGTTCTAGGTGTTCGTGGTGTTTTCTGTGATGTGAGATCGAAGGCGACGTCAAATGAGAACACACTGCGCGGTGTCGCCGTCGTCGTCAAACCGCCTGATCGACTAGTCGAACGAGTTAACCTGTAAGCAGTAAATTATACTTGTAGAAAGGTCGACGTAACCATCGAAGACGTTGTGAATACTCATTCTTACGGAACGTCCTGTCGACATCAATCATTCGTTGTTTTCCTAATGAGCACACATGAAATTGTTACTACACTGTTTATTTTTCTACAATGGCTGACGTTTCGCCAGATTTCGCCTTCATCAGAGCCTGAAATGGTCTACAACCCAGTCAGCCAAGGCTGTCTTACTGAGCAATGCCTGAGGTTAATAGAAAGTTGGCCTTGAGAATTCCTGTCAACGTATTTCATAGAGAAGCACTTTGTCGCTCCCGGTGTTTCACGCTTTTTGTTAGTTTCTTCATGGCAGAGACCTTTTTCTTGTGTCAGTTCTCAATCAGAAACACTTTAAGTTTTCTTCCTCACTTCGGAACTACCATAATGGACGGAAATCTAGGAAGTCCATGATGCCATGCATTTGAATAGCATGAATCGAATAACTGCATACGGACAATGTTTACATAATTTTCAGACAGGATTAGAACCATCAATCATATTAAGAGGAGTTTTGTCTTATTTTACTTCGGTACACCATGCCAATGCTAAAAATAGCATAATAGGGATAAATGGAGCTAATATTTTTACATGGCCCGTCCTTTATATCTGCTGCGCGGATCCCAACCCTTCTCGCATTCGATTCGTATCCTCGTATCCATCATCGACGAAGGCCTTCAAACTTCTTGCGCACGACTTCCGCTGCTGCTTAATGATTTTCCTTTCGTCATGGATGTAGTAGAATGCTGGTAGAGTGGATTGTCACTGCAGTCCCGATATAGCGGGGTTAGAGCGTTCCTAATTGAATTGCAGGCAGTGAACTTTTCGCAAACAAGTCTATTACCATTCTCGTGACTCTGGAGGGATGAAAGGTTTGATGAGCTTGGAGCGGGGTGAAGCATCAACAGGCCTGTGATGATCGCCATCACTACCACTGTGCTACACGCCCCTAGACGGATATAACGCAACGAAAAATTTGGTGCTTGTCAAAGTCGCACCATCCTTTTGGTTTCAACCACTTTCCTAATGGTGGAAAAGACCCTAGCAGGCTAAACACATGGATCAATTTCGTTGCCATTTGATCTACACTCACCTTGAACGGCTCCTAATAACAATTGGAGTACTAGGTAAATCGAATGAAAACACTGAACATGGGGTACAAGGAGATGGTTCCGGCAGATATATTGATGACGGAAGCCGTAGAAGATGTGGTCGGTCACGTTTCAACAAGCGAACATGCTCATAACTGAAAAATCCAGAGCGAGCTGTGGTGCCTCAAAAATGCCGCACAAATCAATGAGAAACAAAGTGGCTTACGTTGTTGTAGGGTTGGATGAATTATTGCTGACAACAATGCCGTTCTCCATCCTAGTGGAAACTGAAGAAATTATTAGTGAAAACCGATGGTGTAAGAAAAGCCAGGACAAGACATAACTACCAACAAACGAGAAATCTATAAGCAAAAAAGCTGTACAATTAAGCGGGGATCTGGGGAACCAAAATCGGCATTGGATCCAGTTAAGCTGAGGCTATAGTTAAAATTACAATGTCAATTTTTTATTTTCTCCCTATAACATTTTTTAGGACAGCGTGAAAAGATAAATAAAGCTCTCGGAGTTGATCAATCAACGAGGGATGCACCGTGCATTCTACTTCATTATGTATCGTTGGAAGAATGCATATCTGGCCTTTACACTAACTCGCGGTGGCCTACCGATGTATCGAGCTAGTGCTGCTATTCTTCCAAACAAGCATCATACCAATTTTCCGACCCCGGTGGGATGGAAGGCTTGGTGGGCCACGCGTATCGGATCAATCCCACGTGTGTGTTACAGGGAGCCTCCGACCACTACGCTACACGCACCCTTACGGCTACGGCAGGGTATTATGTGAAATGCAACCATAATATTAAAATATTTGCCAGACTCCGAATCGCAGGTGTCTGTGGTGGGAAACGAACGCACTATTACTTTTTCCAGGAGCTAACACGTTCACCACCACACCATGCGGGCCCTTCGTTTAGCGTATATTTGTGTATATACATATATATTTATATATATATATATATTACCGCTCTACAGGGATTTAAAAAAATAATGGCGTTGATGAGAAGCAAAGCAAAAAAGCTAAATGTTCAAATAAAATTGTAGAACGAAAAATAGGAAGGAAGCTTTTAGCATGAAAGATAAGCAAGTAAAAAGAAGCACAAGAAATGAACGAATGGAAGAAACAGAGCTAGTATCTACGAAGAAAAGAAAGCCAAATTTTCAAAAGAGTTTGCGAATGAACTTACAGCTAACGGGTTAAATATTCTCAAAATAGACTTTGGCTTTAATTGGATTTTCAACCCCTTCTCATCTCAATCATCTTTGATGTCTGGCTTTCGGCTAACCACACATGAGGAAATCTGCATATGTGCAAACAACCTCATGCTTGTATGTATGCGCGAGTCAAATAACGTTCACCCGAAAGGTATAATTCATTGCGGAAGAGCAGCATCTAAAAGCTCTTCTCCAGAATTCACTGTCATGTTGGTTCGGTAGTAATTTCTGGCTTTTCGTCAACGTTTAACCGCCTGACCACCAACTCAGAGCGAGCGCCGTTGCCCTACGACTATGCAGGTTGATTATTTATGCAAAATAAATATTATTCATTATCAACCTCGTGTACGCTCATCAAAGAAAGAATACATATAAATTAGTGATGCCGAGGTTCAAGGAAAGTCGGTTTCGAAATAAAACTGACATTTCCAATAAGTCAGTGCTTTTTTTGAGCAGACGCGTGGTTGTTAATAACATGATTTCTTCAGCACTGGTTGACGTATAGCATTCTGCAGGGCTCACTACAAAAGGAGATGAGCAAATGTCTTGAACTGCTAAGTCAACAGCCATAATACATAAATTTTACCCGAGAGGAAAAGAAAAATGATTGGCTTCTGTTTTCGAACGTCCACACCAACCTCTCCAGAAACAGCTCCATCACCAAATGGTACCGAAAGCTAAGTAACGAAAACATACTAATCCGCTACCTCTTCTCTCATCCGTTACACAGACAAAAAGATCTTTATGTTTTAGTTTTTGTTTTCTGCCTACTATAATTTTCACGGCTGGGTACTAAGCGAAATACAACCACAATGTTGCTGAGATATTTGCAAAACTCTGGACCCTAGGTGTCTGCAGTGGGGAACGAACGCGCTATTGTCCTTTCCGGGGAGTAACACGTTCACCACCACACCATGCGGGTCCTTTGTTTCGCTTGTCTCTCAGCTATTTCTATCGATCAGCACCATCAACAATTACCCGTGTCTTGTCTCTTGTGAGAAACATGTTTCAAACAGCCGACAGTGTGCACAAGAGCAGAGCAAAACGAGGAATTCCCGAACCTGATGTGGCAAATAACCATTTACAATGGCTACGAAACGCTGGCTCTGTGGAATAAGTTTAGAGGAGAAGCAAATCGCCTAAACGGGTAGTCTAGCGCAAGTAAGGTCTCGTCTATTCTGCCTCCATTTCCAAAGAAATCAGCTCAGATGTAAAGCATTGATTAAAAACGGCGCGTCTAGACAATCGATAGTAAACAATTACCACCGCATACTCTATAACCTTATTAGTTCGTAGCAGTTTTCATAATTTTACATGTTTGATACAATATTGAATAATCTGCCCCAACGCAAGCGACGATGGCATGAGTTGGAGTACAAAGCACACGATTTCTTGTAAAGCTGTAGAGATGAAGACATTGGAGAAACGGGTAAACCACCTTGCGTCCGTACAAAAGAGCACCTAGTTTGGAAACTTAAAGTCAAACAGAACACTAAGCACGCATAGGGCACAAAGACTTAACGGAGAAGATTTCGAAGTAAAAACGTAATCTTCGCGGGATAAACTGTAGAAGCCTAAAAATGGGCCATAAGGAGAAGTGCTTTGTGAACACGTGTTACCCCTAGCCACACCTCAGATCGACCATATTTGACCAGATTCGGGCACATTCCTCATCCATGTAAGACTCTCTGCGGCTGGTCTCCACTAAATAACGGGAAGACTTATGAAGAACAAAGCGCTGACTGTTTAAAAGAAGCTGTTTATAATGCGAATGAAATATACGTATTGTTTTTTTCTGCTTGGGTTATAAAAAGGGCTGGCTGAGTAGGTTGCTTATGAATTGGACCACTCCAGGCTCTGAAGAAGGCGAAATCGCCGAAACGTCAGCCAGGATTCAATAAATCTTGTTATCGACAACTCATGCCTGCTCAAGAAGAAAACACTGACTTATTTAATAATGCCGAGTGTAATAGCAAGTCGGTCCTAGAAACCGTTACATTTCCAATGCTGCTATTAAGAATACTAATCACTAAAAAGAATAGCGCTGGTTCTTCTTTTTCTCCCCGTCAGTGTTATTGATGCTAATTTCCATCACTTGCTGACAAAATGATATTTCCGTCAATGCTGATGTGTTGACCGAAAATCCTGCCTAGAACGTGTTTACCTGTTAAATGACTCTGTTCGCTTAGATGTAGGTCATCATCTACGTTCCAGCTCGACTCGTTATCAAGTTATGTGACGGTGTGGATAGATAGAACTACGCTAAATATCAAAGTTCGAAGATCAATGGTGTGTGTAACGCAGTGGTTAGAAGTACACCGCATTGCGCCTTACGTCGTTGGTTCGACCTTGCGCTCCAATTAAAACGAGCTCGCTATTCGCGGTTATCACTTTGATGTCATAATACCGCAAGTTACCTATACACCGGATATGCATTCAGTCGAGTGTATGACGCATTCCTGAAGAGTCGAGACACAGGAACAACTCCATGTTAGGATGAGGTAGGAACTTAGAAATGTAATCAATAACAACCCTTCATAATTGAAAACTTATTGATGAGTTTAGTTTTTTATTTACTGCTTGCTACAATTTTCACGGCAGGGCATCATGCGAAATCAGCCACAACGATGCAGAGATATTCGTAAAACTTGGACTTCGGGCCAGATGGAACCACGATTTCCCTTCTCGGGGGCTGGCATATTACACACTGCTCCACGGAGGCCTTTGCTTTGCGTTTCTCTTAGCTAACTTTAACTTAACTGGGTTCAATGCCGATGTGGGCTCCCCAGATCAATCCCGTTGATGGATGTTTGCTGATGGTAATGGTAGATAGAAAATTAGCTAGATCAGAGCTGCAAAGCTAGTTAGGTTTGATTCGAATTTGGAAAGAAACAGTACTTTGAGTAACTAAAATTATTTCCACTAATAAGCCTAGTTGGACGTGTAATTAGCCGTTATGGCGGAATTCTGGTCAGTACCTTCATAAACTACTGATCACAAGGATAACAGAACACTGGGAAGAATCCTTACCTTTGCGATCGATTATTACATGAACGTTTCAAGACCCGATGAGTTGAATCTCTGCACGCTATACTGTAAACGTTTCGCAACACCCCTCAGAAGTGACACATTAAACCGATCACCTTGGTGGTGGTATGTTGATCTGTTGTTGACGCAAGTGACGAACAGGTTCCGGTCAATGGTCGGGGCTCATGACCATATCACTTTCGGACTGTTATACGGGATGAAATGCCCCAGTTGATTGATTAATAGTCCGTTTGTTATTTGTTATCGTTCATGATGCGATGATGGTGAAGTGCGAGAGGCTTCCACTCCCTGCCTTTACTCCAAGGCTGTTATCGTTTGTCATGTTCCCGATGTTCAAGTTTTTGATGCTTATCTATCAGCGAATATTCTGCTGCTGAAGCGAATCTGATGCTAGTAGTCCGTCTGGTTTTGTTGGTTATATTACAGCGTCTTGAAGCAGGGGCATGAAAGGAAAACACCACCTAACTCTATACTTAGCTTTTTCGCTCTACGATTCTTTCAGCATTAGCGTCAGCGTTGCAAAACGGGAAATGAGGTGAAATCCTAATTGGTATCGACGGCGTTATCTTGGAAATGATTCTATGAGTATCCCATATCAGGCAAGCGAAAGACAAACAATCCGAAGTTCCGACCCACGCGGATGACCAAATACTTGAGAAGATTCATGCAAGATGTGCAGAATGAATTGAACTCCACACTTGATAATTATTAACGAGAATCTATGAAGAAAAGTCATTGGCTTCCTGGCCTCACACGATGTCAAAAGCATCAAGCGGAGAGAAACCACAAACTAAACTTTTTAATGAAAATTCCAGGAGAGAGATATGATGCTCTTCATTGATCAAGTAGATCCACTTGAAAAATCTTCTCCTCAAACAGGGACGAATAAAGAAATAATAGGCGCCCACTCAGTTGTTCGAAGTCAACAGAATAGTTAGCGACAATGGCGATAACGTATAGCATTATGCTGGATACTTGGACCCTTGGATGGCTCGACGTCACTAGTAGGGCCGCTACATTTCCCAGTACATTTTTCCTTCGTTTCTCTTTTGCGTAATCGTCGTCTATGGTGACATACGCGAAGCACAATCTGTGACCCTTAAATCTCCAGATGGTTGCCATAAGCTGCGAACCGTTCCCATATCCTGCGGGTGGTCGTCCGAAAAGACCCTCGCAGTCCAGTCCATCGTTCTTTCGCAGTCTATCTTTACTTTTCTCAAGCAGTTCCGTTAAGAATTAACAGCGACTAGAAAGTTCTCACTATTAAAAGTGGCACCATCGCGTGATACTGGTTGGATCGGCCTAATTTAAGTTAGTCGTCATCAAATAGTGCATAGAGCCAAACTGTCCCACTGTAACCGCCGATGTGACCGGAAATAGCGCCACCTACCGAGACGTTGAGGTAAAAACCTTGAAATATAGTTGTGGTTACTTGCGCTAACACTCCATTCACCGAATCATAAATAGTAATAATAATGGTTATAATAGCGATAATAATAGTAAAGGTAATTGATATGTAGTAAATGAATTTGACGCATAACAAAGAATAAAAGGTTTCTGTGTTGTGCTCTCCCCTAAGTGTGTTCCATGCATTCGACTCCATTCACAGGGTCGTAGTGGCAGTTGAAGAAACAGTGTTCTTATAAATGACTTTCGGAGGCATGCTAATGGATCAAATCAACAAACTCTGTTTAAAAGAGCACTGCGGGGTGAGCACATCGGCCGAATAAAAGTTTTTCATCAATTAAGCTCAACGATTTAAAACATAGTTTTTATCCATGCAGACAAATCTGCTAGCAATTGTGGTCGACTCGCATGGATGGAGGGCATTCCTAACTTGGGGCATGAGATGGAGCCGACAACCATGTTCATATTGCACACGTCTCTAACTAGCCCGCTTCACAAGCCCATTTACTCATCTTACCTTTGTAGAAGTTCAATGAGGTATTCTATTCTTTTTTAATAAGAAACGCTTTCCATAGCGACATTAATCACAAGAGTCCTGAAATTTTTTCCTCAGGAAATACAGTTGTTGTCGATTCTAGGGAAAATTTGTACACGAACAAAGGGACGGTTGTCATAGTTGCCTTCGACCACCATGGAACCATTTAGATCGTTGCAACAAACACAGCTTAACAATCAGTTTTTAGGCAATACTGTAGCTTAGCCACGTTCATTTATAAGATGGTATACAGAAGGCCACGCCCTTTTCTAGTTAATGAAATATATTTGTAGCTAATTGGAAATTTGAAGCAAACACATAATGCAGGTGGTAGGAATTGATTTCTTACATGTTCGCCAACTTATTAACATGTTTTCATGTTCTACAGAAAACGAGCAGATTTAAATAAAAGCTTGCAAGCACTATAACAACAGAAAACACACGAAGATGAGAAAATTGGGCGGAGTTTCATGATCAACGCACATGATCGATGCACCTCCACCAATCGGTAACGGCTTATGGATGTCTATTTGACAAGAGATCGTACAGTTTTGAGAGCAGATATGAAAAGACCACTTTTAGTGAAACATAGCATTGATATGTAGTAATGACAGAATTGTTACGGGTTGCTGGTATTGACGACGGCAAGAGGATATGTGGACGGACAGACGGACGAATGGACGGACGGCGGCGGCAGCGGCGGCAGGTTGGGATCATGTTCGATGACGAGGCGGGGAATCATTTCGCTGAACTGCATATCTTCTGGAGATTACCCGAAGAAACCGCCTGATATTGGCATTGGTGATCGGATATATCGCTCTGATCGCTTATCGTAGGAACCATCATCCACTGGTAGTGATGCTCGTTTACCATACATTCCTATAAGATTTATACAGTAAATATTCAAAAAAATCAACAAAAGGCTGAAAACCAATAATTGTTTAGAGAGTTCATTTAGTGATATTAATGAACATACCGCCAGAAAATGGAGCTACAACAGCTCGTTTACCGTAAAATCCACCAGAAAACGGCATCGATGTCTGTTTACCATAGGGACCAAACGTCAACACTTCCCGTTTACCATAGATTCCACCAGAGTAAGGCATTATCATTCTTTTCTCATGCCAACCTGATAAAGAGGTGTTGCGAAGTGTCCCAAAAGTTGCGCAACATTTCATCAATAATATTCGCTTTGGAATACTAACCGGCATAAAGTGGATGTTCTTCCCGGTCTTGATCGATGATGTTTGATCGTTTACCGTACATTCCTTAAAGGTTACAAGTATATAATATTTTAGAATTAACATCCTAAAGAAAAACGAACCTCCTGAGAACGGCATTACATTAGCACGTTTTTCGCCCATGTAGCTGGAAACCAGGATCATCGGGTCTTTGTCTTGTATGCCTGCAAAAAAGTTGAGTAAAAATGGTAAAAAACAAAACTTTATAAGTTTATAAGCTTTATAAGCTTTAAGTTTTATTTTTTATTTTATTTTATTTTATTTGACCCGTCTTCAGGTCTACTGTGCGGATCTCAGCGCGTCTCACATTCATTTCGTTTCCTCGCATCCATTGTTCACGAAGATCTTCCAACTTTTACGTGTGGCTTCGGTTGCTGCTTGAGGATTTTCATTTCATCTCGAATATCGTAGAATGTTGTTCGAGCGATTCTTCCTGGAGTCTTGAGATAGCCGGGCTGGGGCGTTCCCAGTTGGATTGCAGAGAGCGATTTTTTCCCAGACAAATCCAATACTAATGTCCCGAACTCGGAGGGAAGAGAGACTTGGTTGGTCCAGAGCGGAATCGAACTAGCATCATGGGCGTGGTGACGAACATCACTACCACTGTGCCACTCGCCCCGTAAAGTTTGTTTGCGTCATAAAAGGATAAAAAGGACAAAGCTCTCTGTGTTGCTCAATCCCTGAGCGATACGCCATGCCATTAAGCGTCGACTCCACTGAGCGTCATTTGGAGATGGTTGAACGCATATCTGGCCTTTACAATGACTCGCGGTGGCCTGCCGATGTATCGAGCCAGTGCTGGTGTCCTCCCAAACAAGTCTGGTCCCAATTTTCCGACCCCCGGAGAGATGGACGGCCTGGTGGGGCAAGGCAAAGGATCGATCCCCTGTGCGTGTTGCGGGGCGACTCCGAAAGCTGCGCCACACGCGCCCTTTTGCGTCATAATTGCGGAGAAATAATTAAAATCAATAAGAATTAGAGATGAAGAATTTTTAAGCCAAACTCTTTTCGCTGTTTGTTGGAAAAAGTGATTTCAAACAAGGAGTGGAATTAGTTGACTAATGGCCTTCTCCGACC